GGGAAGGAGGAAGGGAAGGAGAAGGAAGGGAAGGAGGAAGGGAAGGAGGAAGGGAAGGAGGAAGGGAAGGAGGGAGGGAAGGAGGAGGAGAGACCGCGATGACCGACTACACAGGTGACCAAGGATCTCCCCCTTTTTCACTATCCCCCCTCGCATCTCCTTTCCCGCCTCATTATCTGCCATACTTGCTTCCGGATACCCCGCTGGAGGGGGAGGAAGGGAGGGAGGAAGGGAGAGAGCAAGGGTGGGAGCGGAGGAGGGAGGGGTGGCGGATGGCGGACTTTCTGTACGGGGAACCGTCTGCCGAAGGACCTTCGGAGGGGAAAGAGGCAGATACGAGAAAAGAAGAGTCATGGAATGCACTGGGCGGAGAGCACGGCAGTCAAGAAACAGATTTAGCGATATCGCTGCTCAGCGACCAGCTGTTCAAGGAGTAAAAAAGGAGGGAGGAAGGGAGGGAGGGAGGGAGGGAGGGAGGTAGGTTGCCGAATTGGATGGGGAGGGGGAAGAGGGGCTTGGCAAATTTGAAACCGAAAAACGGAAGCAGCGTCGGTAGAGAAACGGGCAACGGCAAGCCAATTAGAAAAAAAAGCAACGAATCAAAAACAAGTGGAGCACGGAAGGCAAGGGGCCACCAGAAAGCAGGTGGGCAAGGCGTGGAGTGGTGCCTGAGGCCGGGGCGGAGGTTGACGTCGACAAAGGAAAGAGCAACGAGAGGGAGGGAGGGAGGGAGGACGGGAGGGAGGGAGAAAGGAAGGGAGGGAACAAGCAGGGGACACGATCAGGCACACCTGAGTAAATTTGCGCTGCGGTAGCAAGGGGAAATGCGGAGGAGGTTCATAAAGCATCGTTTCCTCTCTTTTCCCGCCCGGTACGCTCCTCTACGATAACGAATTCACTGGCGAAGAGCAGCGACGTGACGGCAGAGCCCCCGCGCGGTCAATGACAACGCCAGGGAGTTTAACGGCCCAACCGCGGCAGTGAAGCACAGAAATACTCGCAGGCCACCGCAATACTAAGTCTTGGCCCATCCTTAGTGTTGCATGATTTCATCTGCCCAAGACTAAAGCATAGGAGGGGATAATCTCGGAGTTTGGATCTCGGCTCCCTCTCTGTCCTCACTGAAGGAAAGGGGGCAAAAGCGGGGGCTTCTTGCTTGCCCACGATACTACCCTTTCCCTCCCCTCCCACGCTCGAACGAGGCCCTCTACCAGCGTGCCGGTGGCTGGAACCCCTTCTTGGCATCCGAAGGATGTGGAAGCCAACAAACCATTTTTATGCCAGACTCCGATTTCGTAGGGACGTGCACGCATTTTTTTTCGTCAGCCGCATAATTAGTGTACATGGTGCTTTATACGTGATGATTTTCGGCCGCAGCAGGGTCGGCCTACATTTTGTTGTCAGGATCTTCGAGTAAGAGACAGCCCCAGAAGAATGGAGGAGGCACACCTTCCCCCAAGAAAAAGAACTGGGAACGGAAGGCTCCAGGCCACACAGAGGAAAGACAGGACAATGGAAATGACGGCGATAGTCCTGCCAATGGAAAATGGTGATGTATTTTGTGAGTCACAGTTTCCTTCCTCAAATGGAGGGATAAGGGGGGGGGCGTCAGAATACTCTCCGAGATGAGACATGCTGTTCATAGGGCAAGCTACTGGCTCTTTCCGGTTGGAGGAGACCCAAAATGATCAACTTTTTGAAATTATTTCGACAATGATACAGAATTGTTGCCACGACCGAAGAGCGTGCACCGGTCGTCGGACTGTCAGCCAACTCCCGATCCGGAGCTCCCACGAACCACACGTCGGGAAGGAGACGATCAGCATGGCAGAAGAGAGCGCATGCATGGTTGAAATTTGAACAATATCCTGCAACTTTGAGGGGACTGGAAGCATCGTAAACAAGGACGGAAGAGGGGTACGTATTACATGCATAAATGGGCGCAAGGAGGTGTTGCACGCACAAATTGAAGTCACGGGAACAGCAATGGAGACATGTCGCCTTATGATCAAATGCCCCCCCCACCCAATCGAAAGAAATAAAAGCGTGCGTGCCGTGCTTGTTAGGCGTCAATGCTTCCTTTCACCCCCCGTTTACCCCTCCCTCCTCCCCTCGCGTCGGACCTACCATGAAGGAGGAGGCTGGGGGAAGATGAGGCTCGAAATGACAGGCACAAAGAGGCGAGAGCCTCGTTCCCCTTGGCAGCACACAACCACCAACCCATCCCCCTTGTCACGGCTCCTACCCGTCCTCCCTCCCTCCCTCCTTCCCTCCCTCTCTCCCTCCCTTCCTCCCTCCCTCTGTCCCTCCCTCCCTCCCTCAACCTCTTGGAGGCCGAAGGATCCGCTTGGTCATCACGGCGCCCGCGCCCGCCAGACTGAACCAAGTCAGGGCATAGACCAAGTGGGTGGCGGGGGTCACGTAAAAATCTCCCACGTCGGAGACTGACTTGGCCACCGGCCATTCCGGGGAAGGAGGGAGGGAGAGAGGGGAGGAAAGCTTTCCTTCCTCTGTACCTGCCTGCGAGGTCGTTGCTTCCACTCCCTTGGTGTCTTCCTGGAGTTGAATCAAGTAATGCATGACCCCCCTCCCCTCCCTCTCTCCCTCCTTCCCGCCCTCCTCCACTACCCACTTCTCAATCGCGGGCACATCGACCCACAGCAAAGGATTTCTCTCCCCTCCTTGCTTCCTTTCCCCTCCTTCCCTCCCTCCCTCTTCTTCTACCAGCGCGGGGAATGTGTTGGGGGGCGCGAACCTCCCTCCTTTCTCTCCCTCCTTCTCCACCACGCCCACCACGGTCACCGTACCCTCGGGCCGGGAAAGGGCTGAAAGCGCCCGCCTAGGGACCCACCCTCGATTGACCAGCAACAGCCGCCTGGATAAATGAATAGGAAAAGGAGACAGAATAGGAAGGCAGGGGTTTGAGTCGTATCCGTATTCTTTCTGTGCGAAGCGAGAACCGAGCTAAGACAGGCAATGCCATCTCCTTTCCTTCCTATTTCCTCCTTTTTGCCGCCAGGGTACCCTGCTCGTTCTGTGCGGACCTACAAACGCCCGGCCTTTCCTACCTCCCTTTTCCTTTATCCTTTCCTCTTTCCTACCTGCTCTTGCTGACTCCGGTCCTTCTTCCCTCTCTCCCTCCCTCCCTCCCTCCCTCCCTCCCTC